AAAAAGTTAACCCTTTACTTTCCAGATGCAACGCTTTCAAATTATCTCCTCCCCCGCCAATCTCACACACACACACACACACACACAGAGCAATTGAAATGGAGGTCTTTTTTCAGTCTCAGCTGTTATGGGAGGGGTGCAAGATGTCAAGGAGCTAATCATTTATTTGTGTAAATATGGCATTTTGCTTTGAAAGCTTTCTAAAAAAGTTTGAAGCAGTGCTAGTGAGAATCATGCTAATATTTATGGTATAACTTTCCTTTAGATGGATAAGATGGTAATTCAGAGCTTCCTTGCATGATATACCACTGTTAAAGAAGTAAAACTAATCATGGATAAAACTGGCGTGTCCAAGAGGTGAATAGCATGATTTAGATTGTCTTGCTAAATATGCAAATATTAAGGTGCTAGTCATAACACCGTAACATATTAGTGGCTACTGTGATGAAGTGTGTAAAACAAGTGTGTAAAACAAGGAATAACTGTTGATATTGCTATAGCCTAGATGTAGGAGTGTGAGCTGCAGATCAGAAGGTCTCAGTCATGAACTAACTTACTTATAAATGGCTCAGTGTTGCTCTAACTGTAAACTCTGACCTTACTATTTGTAGTATTATTGTAATGTTATTGTTTTTAATTTATACTCGAAGCTGCCTTGAGGGCTCTTGGCATCCAAAAGGTAATGTTATCCTTATTTTTTCCAAAGTTCGTAGAACCTGATCTCTCTGTAATTCAGAATTATCCAAAGTAGCCCTCTAATTTGAGACCTGAGTAAAATATTCCCCTAATCATTTTCAAAGTGGCGTCTTCATCTCCATGACCATTTTGGCTTGGAATGCTACTTTTTTCAGGTTATATGTCTAACACTATTTGTGTGCAGCTCTGATGCCACACCTATTTTGGCCCTATCTTTGTAGATACAGAGTTGTATAATTTTTGAACACAGCAGATTTACATAAACAGCAGAAGCAAGTTAATTTGGGGTTCTCTTCTGTAAAATAACAATATTTACTGTAATTCAGTGTTTTATTTGGTAAGGATCTTTATACAGTTCAATTCTTGTTTGGTACAGATTTGTAATTAAAGAGACTCAACTTTAGCTAACACATCATATTAGAGTGAGTCATGTTTAGAATCTGTTAACTCTTTCCTGTAGTTTCCTGGCTGCCATGTTCATCCATTAATTCATATTTTTTATCTTCCTGTGTTGTGCTTATTTTGCTTTCCCTTGTCTCTTAAGAACTCTTGTTACCAACCTGTTTTACTGACCTGATTTGTATATAATGACAATTCATGGGTTAAACAACCATAAATTACCAAGGCCTTGCAGGAGCAAACATATACTCTCCTAACTCCTCATAACATCACTTTGCTAAACAACCCCATTTCTAGGTTGTTTGTCACAATATCCAAACCTGGGACTTCTGGTTGCTGAACAACCCAAAGTTTGAACTCAACAATGAACATAGGTTTGAACTCCTTGAGTCTGCTTAATCCTCAACAACCCCATTCCTGCCCCTCTCCCTGCTTTGGGGCACCCTGCTCAAAGAGTTGGCAGATTCCCCTCAAGGGCTTTCAGGATGACAGACCATGCCTAGGGGTGTGACTAGGCAAATCTTCATTCAGTGTTCCACCTCACAGCTGTGTAAGTGTTCTTAAAGACTTTGCCCTATTATACCAAGGGCTGGTGTTACCTAGGGGAAGTTGGATGTGTTTGCTAGTGTTGAATAAAAACAGTTCCAAACAAAGACCAAACTTTTATATATTATTAAACTTCAGAGTACTGAAAGATCCTACGGCACTCACTCCACACACTGGAAATTTTGAATTACTGTGCAACAGTAAACTTGGTTTGCTGTCAAGTAAGTATACACATAACAGGAAGCTGGTGCCAATCCTCTCTAGAACAGAGGTAAGCAAGCTCTGGGCACCAGGACACATCTGGCATTTTGAAAAACTCTCCTGGGCATCCCTACAAAATGTGTGCACTGCAGATGAAGGCACTGGCCTATGGCCACTGCTACATTCATTTCCTGAGAATAACTCTGAGCTCCACAAACAAACCACAGGCATTTGTGCAAAAAGGTGATGGGAGAAGCTAAACTCCCTCACTTTGCCCTACAAAGGTGTCTAAGGGCACCACGTTACCCATAGCTGCTCTAAAGCATGCACAGTATAATCAATATATTTAATCCACAAAGGCTTATGCCAGAATAAACATATTACTCTTGTAGTATCAGAAGACTTCTGTTTCTCCTGCAATAAACTGATATAGCTACGCTTTGGAAATTATGTAATGATGCATTTACAAATGTGCTTGTTTCATTCACAGCATATAGTATTAGATGGACAATCTTAGCGTGCACCTAAAATTGTAATAGTTTTAAGTGACTCATAACTTTTGTGTATATAATGTTTCAAACATAGCATTATATTACGTTTAATATGCAAACATATTGCTATATTTATATCAACAATGTTTGAAACATATTATTTTTCTTATCATTTTAAACACATGAAAACATATCATCATTAAACATAGAAACCTGGTTTACACAACTTGACTATTCCTAATCTACATAATGCAGGAGCTGTCAGGAGCAAATAACAATAAACAAGCATCACTTGTCACTTCCACGTCAAGTTCTGGGCTCTTATTTTGACATCTGAACCCAGAAATCTTGATGGATTAGTAGTTAGCCCAGCAATTGCCTATAGTTGTCACTAATTAAAAGTTTAAGCAATGAGCACATGGCAGGCAGTTTGGTTAGCCACTAAGGGGTTAAACAACCAACAGTTAGCCACTATGTGAGAACCAGGTCACTGAGAGCCAGTGAGGTGGAATGGTTAGTGCTAGTGGCACCATGGAAAACATCAGTCAAATCCCTACTCAGCTTGGGCTAATCTCCAGAACTCAATCTAACCTACCTCACAGGGTTGTTGCCAGAATAAAATGGGAAAGAGGGAATATCACATACACCATCTTGACTTTCTGTGAGGAAGGACTGGATTAAAGACTAAATTGCTGTTAGCTTAACCTAACTTCTTTGTACTGTAACAAAAGACGGAGAGAGAAGGAGTGAGAAAGATCCTCAGGATGTGCTTCCTGACTGCTGAGCTCTCTGACCTCACATGATTGATAATCCCGTTTTTTGTTTTGCTTTTCTGCCAGCCACAGGCTGCAGAAGGAACAAGCCACAGTCTCCACCTCCTTCAGCTGTCATCCTGTCAAAACAAAGGCTCTGTTGCCAAGAGCAGGCAGAGGGAGAGGGGGGAGCGAGCAGGAGGAGCTACAGTGGCAGGTCCCCAATGCATGCTTCTCCTTCTCTGCACTCCTCCCCCAAATACCCTGGCACTGCACACAACGGGATGCAGGCAGAGTGCTGGAATGGCTTTCTTGCAAAAGAAACACAACGTGAAAAACAAAAGCAAAAAGGAGGGATTGTTTATTTCTTAATGCACACACACAGCAGGCACTTAAAAGAGGGTTTGTCTCGATGCTGAATCCTCTGTTTACATGACAAGCAGCTGTGGCACCATTTTACCAAGCAAATAATACAGTATAAACAACTACTGGCATATCCTGCTGGGCCTCAGTTTTCCTGCCTTTGGAAAATGTAGCATTCTCCTATCTCTTTACATATCAACTTCACTGAAAGTCAAGCTGACATCCTGCCTCACAGTCTCAGTTCTAAGTCTTTGTACAATTGCCTACAAATTGGTTTCTTTTCCTGCTAGTGAAGAGAAGTCAGCCTCCTCCAAACCCGTGCAAACCTTCACCCCAATACATAAGGGGGGAAAACACTCTTTATAAATTAACACAGACTAGGATTGTATGTGCCAAATGATAAATCTAGCACTAAGGGGATATTGGTACAGAAAAATGACAGCAAGGCAGGAAGTTGAAGCAAAGGCACATGGAACATGGACGTTGAAGTCAAGGCCAGGTTAGTCAGTAGGGAGTTAGGAAGGTGAAACTGAAAGGGTCAGGCGCTGCAAGTTATAATAAGGCCAATTCTGTGAAAATGGGTCACACAGAAATGACTGAAATGGGACAAAAAGGGTTACAGCACAGGAACAGAGGCCAAGTTTTGCCCTGGAGCTCAAGAGGGAAGAAACCGCAAGGAAAAGGATAAGTTAGGCAACTGCTCTGCAAACTGCCAAGGAAGAGAACTATGTTGAGGTGCTTAGGCATAAGGACTTGGAGGACACAGAACACCACTAGTGAAGAATTGAGCAGCACTAAGCATGCACCCAGTGCTTTTCCTTACCCACTACCTACCCACAATCAGGCCCATATTAAAGGAAAAAAAAAATTGGGAGCCAAAATTATTTCACTTCCAACCACAACAGACTCCTCATGCCTATTCTTTTGAAGCATGTACATGATTTGCACGTACAGGACATGAACACTGTATTCTGAGCCAATCTATCCAAAAATGAATACCAATAACCAACTAATTCAGAATAACTACCCCCCATACTTCCGCAGCAAAACATATGAGTAGTGCTACAGTCCTATTGCATGAGCATTAAAGAAAACGCGTGTCTTTGTGTGCACGACGAATCCACTTTTAAGGCACGACGATGGGGAAAGGCATGGCATTCAAATCAAGGTATCCTTAACGCACCCTGCAAAACCAGGCTCAGGAAGAACAAACTTAGGAAATCTCAACTTCCCTAGCGGAGAACCTGTTGCCAGCCTTACAACAAGAGGGAAGGAGGGCAGGAAAACACTCGCTTACGCGTGCGTGCGGGCGTACACGCAGCACGGCCCCGCCGCTCAGTGTGAAGGGGCCTCACGGTTTCCAAACGAGTCGGGCGCGGCGGAGCGGGCCACTCCCCGTGTCTTCCCTTCCGACGGCACTACAACACACCAGCGGGCAACTTGGGGCGCCCTCTATGGACTGACAAAGAACAGGGCGCCGTCCGCGGACGGCCGTTGGCGCCGTCCCTTTTTATGGTGCTTTTCGTCCCTCACCCCCGGGCCGGGCGGGTACCTTGCAGGCGGAGTAGACGCCCAGCTTCTCGAGCTTCTTGACGCGGGGTGCGGAGCGGAGCTGCGCCTTCTTCCCCGCAATGCGAGCCGAGCCGGGGGCCCCGCCGCCGCCGCCGCCGCCGCCGCCGCCTCCTCCTCCTGCGGGGCTCTCGGCAGCAGCAGCGGCGGCTGCAGCGATAACAGCTCGGGCGGGTCCGCAAGCGGCCAACCCTCCCGCGGCCGGGGAGCCCTGCTGAGGCGCTCCGGCGCCACCGGCACCGTTGCCCCCGACGCTGCTACTGCTGCTGCTGCTTCCTCCTCCACCGCCGCCACCAGCGGCGGCGGCGGCGGCGGCAGCAGCAACAGCTCCCGGCCCGGCCGCGCCAGCCTCCGACATGCCGCAGCCCGGCCGGCAGGAGGCTTGCTCGGGGTGCGGTGGCCGCCGCCAGGCTCGCTCGGTGCCCGGCTCAGTGCGCCCGTCGAGCGCTCTGGACCCTCCCCTTTCTCTGCTTTGCTGCCGCCGGCTGCTCCCCCAGGAGGGAGGGGACAGGCCACACCGCGGGCGGGTCCTGCCGCGGGGAGGAGGCGGGGGAGGCGTCCGTCCGCTAAGAAGCCAGCGGGTAGGGAGAGACGGACATGTTGTCGGGAGCCTGGCTGGGTTATCGCTGTCTGGCAGCGAGCGGCAAGAGGCAAAGCCCCGGCGGCGGCGACACGGCCTATCCCTCCTCCGCAGCCTAGGAAGCCAAGCAGCAGTGCAGTGGCGTCCCCAACAGTCCTAGCCTAGCAACACAGCCGCCGCCATGAGCCGCTCCAACGCCTTTGCCGCCCGCTTGGCCCCAGCCTGGGTGGCGTTGGAAATGCTGCGGTGGCCATTGAGGCGTGAACGGACTTGCAGGAGAATTACAGTTCCAGAGCGGGGAGGAAGAGGAAGAAATGGCGGGGCTTTGTTTTGTGGTTTGCAAATTCCCTCCGCTTCAATACGCCATCGGGGGCATAAGGAACCTTCCTGAGGAGGAAGGAGGAGGAGGAAAAAAGAAGAGTCCTCCGGCGCCGTGTAGATGAGCTGATGTGTTTTGACACGCGACCGTGTGTGCCACAATAAAGCGGGGAGTCGCTAAGGTGCCGCAGAGTGCGCGTGCGCGTCTGTATGTGGCTCCTGGAGCTATCCTGGAGCGTTTCTCAGAGGTGACCAAGAGACTTCTGCTCCCCCCTCCCCAGCGTGCCGACATAACAGATTCATAATCGGGAAACGAAGAAGTAATGCCGGGGCTGAGTGTACACAAGAGTTCCAGGAAGCCTTTCAAGAAGGCAGAAGTGCCTCCCGCACCTGTTTCTCGCAAGAAGCACTCGCCTAAGTGCTGGCAAAGCCGTTTGTTCCCGCTTTCACGTGTTATTTTCTCCCGTTATGGCAAGCCTTGTATTTAGGATGGCGACTAAGGAAGGCGACTTTCCTTTTTAAAATAATTGTGTTAGAAATACGATCGTACATAACTTATTCCAGAAAATGAATGCATTCTTAGGAACAGTGGATTGACATGGAGCCTTCCTCAACGGATCGCTAATTCCGATGTGTTGGAGTACAACTTCCATCATCCATGATCATTGACTATATGGTGATGTCAGCTGTGGAGCAAAGTAGTGACCACGGGGAGGGAGTTAGGCCTGCCACTGGCAGTTCTAGCATTTGGGAATTGTGCTGGGCATCTATTTCAACACTTTAAATAGTTGTGTTAATCCAAGTATCTATAATAGCTTCTCATTATGGTTGCTGCATTCAACTCAAAATTACCTAGGGAGGTTGCAGACTCTCCCAAACTAGAGACATTCTAGATGCAAATGAACAATCATTTGAGAGGGATGGTTTAACTTGGATTCCTGCACTGAGCAGGAGATTGGACCCGATGGCCCCTTCCAACCCTGCTATGATTCTATGAAAACTGTATAACTGGAATAATTCCTTGAGAGGTGGAGCAGTTGGAAAGAGGAAAGATTGAAGAACCAAGCTCCAGCCCATCTGTAAGCAGCCAAAACCTACACAGAGTAAGAGGACCAGCAGAATTGAGGTGCAGGAAATCTGTGCAGGAAATCTTTCCAAAACCCTTAACTGCAGAAGCAACCAAGGAAGATACACTCAACATTCTTGAGTAAGAGTCCTGTTAAGAATAACCACAGGGATGGATTGATTTGCTGGTAGCAGTATATAAATTGAGATGATACACACACACATATTCTATTTCAGCGTAAACTCAACAATATAACATGAGAATACAATGAGATCAGCCACTCTGTTACAATTTATGAATATTCATAAATTCTATTATTACTTATGTACAGATCTAGTCATAGCATTCTTTAACCCAATGAATATTTTCATAAGAGTCCATGAGTTTGAAGTGGTTGCATTTTTTTTTTGTTATATCACGGATTTATAATTTTTTGCCAGTCTGCATAGAAGTTACCTGTGTAGTGATCTTTGTAGTGAGCTTTGATGTATTTTTTAAAAAATTTGGGGAGTTTCCCCATTGTTTAAAGATGTATATATCCTACCCTTCAGTAATACTTTCATAGGAAATCACGATGATTTAAAATAACACACCAAAAACTTTTACCTAGTGTCAAAAAGACAGCAATATTGGCACATGGCAAACTTTTCTGAGGAAGGAATTCGAAAAACAGTTCCACAACTAAGAATCCCTTCTCTCTGGTTGCCACTTATTGTCTCAGATGATAGGAACAGCTGGAAGAGACTTTCAGCACATTATTTTTTAAAAAAATTAGGCCATCTAAGATAAAAATATAAGAAAAAATAATATGAAACAATAGAATTACATTACAAATCAGTATATTAAAGCAGACTGATATTAGAATAAATGTTCTAATATAACATTTAAGAGTAGGTGCCACCCCTTTGAACTGAGTTCAAGATTTTCTTTAAATACTAGTATAATTTAAAAAAAACAAACTTTATAATCTAGAACTGGCTGCAGTTTCTGAACAGTGTTTGCTCTTCCATCTATAGTAAATTAATCTGTATGAATTGGTTTAATTAGCAAATAAACAGAAGGAGGTCTTTCAAATGTCTCAAGTGGCACTACAGCTAAGAGGAAATGTGAATTCCCTTTGTCTAACAAAATATGATATAAAACAGATACTGAGTTGGATGCACTGAAATCAATAGAACTTGAATTGGGTTATGTGCCGTCAAGTCATCTCCAATTTAGGCCAACCTATGAATGAGCACTCTCCAAAATGTCCTGTCCTTAATTAGTCATGTCTAAACACCATTGATTTCAATGTGATACAACCACTGAACAGCTGTACCGTGTGACTGTACTGCACAATGAGAACTGTAATGAAACTGCCCTTGGATGGGTTTCCATGAGCTGAGCTTTCAGCCCCATACACTCAGCAACTCTGACTTGTTTATAAAGCAACTGTAACCATTTAAAAAGAAAAAAAATATTGTGGCACATTAAAACAAACTCATTTATTCTGGCATAAGCTTTTATAGATGTCCACTTCATCAGATGCATGACTCTTCCCAGATGTTTCTTGGTTGTGTCCCTAGGAATATACAGAATCTATGGAAAAGCAGCAGAAAATGCAGACTCAGCTTGACATTATGTCATATAACTGACAAGTATCTTATTGTTTCAGAATATGGTTACTATAGTAATAACTGTAAACATTGCCCACCCAGTAATCTGGTGCAAGGGGACAACAGCAAGCAAGAGAAATGGCTTCCAAAGAACACACAAGTTTTAGAAGCTAGAGGTACACTTTTACAGAATTTCCCTGAGTAAAAAAGAAATACATAGAATGTGGGACAAGTTGTTCTTTAGCATATGCTGAGAGTGCAGTATTAGGCTGAGGACTGAATACTGCAGTATAAAAGGCCCATGTAAAGACACACAAATCGTTATTTTTCATGGAACAGGAAGATGACAGGGCATGTCACAACAGGCTTTTAACAAACACTGAACTATACTGAGAGAGAATGGCTCTCCCAGTAACAATTGTGGGCAATACCACAAGAAAAGGGTTGATTGCATAAAGACTTTCAGAATGATGTTTGTGTGTCGAATATACAACTTACCTCTTTTCTGTGTCCAGATTCAGGGCTGAACAGCATTGAATGTGATAAAAGTGAAGATTAAACCTGGATCTACTGTACATATGGACATTGTCCCATCATCCAATTCAGGAGGGGTTTGTGGGATGGAAAATGTAGTCCACACTGTATCATTAATGTGGTGGCTTTAGTTGTATCTAATTTTTATTCATAAGAGAAGTTAGACTCTTGGATTTGGATCGGACACACCTGGGTTTGAATCCCTACATTCCATGAAGCTCACTGTATAATTTTAAAATGAATCAGGTCACCCTCATCTTGCTCAATGGCACAATTTCATGAAATCAATACCAATTAGACAAAGCTCCAATCTTCAAACCCCCATCCATTTTAAGCCCTACTAGCAAGATTTTTTTTTTTTTTTTTTTTGCTCCTGTTCTCTCCACATTGCATTTAATGTTTGAAAGTCTCTCAGCCTGCCTAACCCTCTTCGCTGGGTGGAGTTGGAACCTTGAAGGCCTGTAATTGGGAGTTCCGTAGCCTCTTCTCCCCCAGACTGGAGATGTGCTGACATGGCCAATGGGAAAAGTGGAGTATCCAACCGACTCAGATTTCCCTTCCCAAGGCCACAGCTCTGTCTGCAGCTTCAGGAGGGAGCAATACCATTTATCATATAGTCTCTCAGATGCTTTAGTCCCTCCCAAGGGTGGCTCTTTTATCCCCTTTCACAAGACTGTGGTAATCATCATGTACACCATCCCAAGCTCTTTGATGGAAGGGTGGTCTATTCACGTGAGAGAGTGAGAAAGGAATATAGTTATCTATAAAATAAGTTTTATTGCAATGAAATCACCTTCTGTGGAGAACACGAAATATAGCATGAAATTTTTTGACAATGGTGATTTAAAAAAGAAACTAAAACCAATGAGAGTCAGTGTGTGAATGTTGTACATGCCCAGCAGACTCTCAAAGGATTTTTTCCCATTCCTGTCAAAACCTACTCCCTCCCCATTAGTGAGGGGCAGCATCTCCCCTTAGGGCAATGGGGTAGATGGACCACTTCCTCAGATGCTATAGGTATTCAGTGTGGTAGAGCAGAAGGCAGGAGCACTAGATACGGCTTCACTCAAATGTGGGAGGCACAATGCGTCCATCTTTGAAAGCCATGCACAATTTCCTCAAGCACTTCCTGTATTTAAAAAAGGGCTATTCTAACCTAAATATTCGAAAGGGATTCTGAATACAGATGGGATCAGCAAAGCAGAGGCACAGGGGAGATGGCTGAGATTCTGCCTGTCTTTCCTGCAGGAGCACGCCTCTCATCAGGCACACCTTCCCTGCATGAACGGAACTGCAATCGCGGCCATCTCCCCACCCCCAGCGCACCATTTGCACCCATCTCTCCCTCCCCACAGTGTGCCTGTGATCACACCCATCTCTCCCCCGCACCCGAGAGCGCCGGGATGACGGGCACGTGCAGGAATGACAGGCACGTGCAGGGATGACAGGCGCAATCTCGGTCATACTGGGCTGGCGGGGAGATGGCCATGCTTGTGCTTGGGTTGGGGGGGGGGGCGGAGATGGCCACCATCTTTGTTGTCGTCACTTTGCTTCACATTTTTCTGATTTAAAAAATGGTTACAGAACGAATTAACCTTATTTACATTGAACCTTATGGGGAAATTTAACTTGGCTCACAACCAATTTGGGTCACGACCTGGAACGGATTAAGTTCATGAGCCAAGGTACCACTGTATTCTAACCTAAATATTCTAAAGGCTATTCTGAAGGGATGCAGGTGGCGCAGTGGTTTAAACTGCTGAGCCGCTGGGCTGGTTGATCAAAAGGTCAGCAGTTCGAATCTGCAGACGGGGTGAGCTCCCGTGCTTTGTCTCAGCTCCTGCCAACCTTGCAGTTCGAAAGCATGCAAATAAAAAGATACCACTTTGGTGGGAAGGTAACAGCGTTCCGTGCACCTTGGTGTTTAGTCATGCCGGCCACATGACCACGGAGACTGTCTGTGGACAAATGCTGGCTCCCTCGACTAGGAAATGGAGATGAGCACCGCCCCCTAGAGTCAGGCATGACTGGACTTAACGTCAAGGGGAAACCTTTACCTTTACCTTTACCTTATTCTAACCTGTGCATTGGTGCATTTGTTCACAAGTATTTTACTTTTAAATTTTAGTATTTTAAAATACTTTATTATAATTTTTAAAATTTCCCATACTTTAAAAACTGCAGAGGGTTTTGAAGAGTAATCTCCCATACTTTCATATCCAGGAAAAAACCCTCTAAGAATGTATCTGCTCCTCATGTATGCTTTCTGCTTCAGAATGATTGCCTGCCGTTTTAGATTTATGTAACTTTAATTGATTAATTAAGGTTTTCTCCAATGGCTTACAGGCCTAGTTTCCTCCTTTTCTGTAAAATTACTTGGCAACCATTTATCTCAAGTTCTATCAGTCTGCTACTACTTTCAGAGGAAGTAACTGACATATTGCCACTACTGGAGACAGCAAAATAGATTCAGTTAGTACAACTCTGTGTATGTTTCATGTGAAGCTTGCTAGGAACTCCCTGTGCAGAACTCCTTCTTCTTGAGTTGAGCTATTTCTTGCATTTGCTGTCTCTGCAAGGATCTGTATATACTGTGTGAGTCGTCTCCATGTCAGGCCTAGTTGCTGTCAGGAAGATTATCCACATGATGAGCCAAGTTGGCATTAAGCAACTCACTGTATAGAGCAGAAACAATGTGAACACACATTTCAGGCACCTTTAGGACAGGATTATTGCCATTTAATTTATTCAAAAATTGCAGCTGAAACCAAAATATTAAGGATAGTGAGACCCAATGGAAGGCTCTTTCTGAACCATGACAAATGAGATTTGATCCAAATAAAATGATGTGTACGGAAGGAAAATGTTGTAACTTTAAATATTTTATTAATGTGTTTAATGTATTTTATGCTTATTCTATTAACACATTGTATGTCCTTTATGTCTTTTATTAATTATTAACATTGTAGATAGATAGATAGATAGATAGATAGATAGATAGATAGGGCGCAGACTAGTAATGGCTAACCAAGATATTGATCATGGTGAAAAGCTCCATGAGAACATCAACTCATGTGTGGAGGCAGTGAAAAAGGCAAATACCACATTAAGGGTTATTATTATGAGTCAACACTGAAAATAAGATGCACAGGACTGTAATATCTGGAATACTGTGCATACTTGCAGACAGCTCATCTCAAAGAAAGTATTATAGTAATGGAAGAGGGCATGCTGAAAATGTATGCTCCCTGTGAAGCAAGACAACAGGAAGGGTATAAGTCTGGCCAGAGATACATTTCCCCCTCTCTCAAAATATTCAAATTTAAGGTCATCATGTGAAACTGATTGGCAGTACATTCACAGCAAGCAAAAAATGAAGTTACTCTTTACAGAATGCACAATTGTCTTAGGCTTGAATGGCTTTTAAAGGGGAGTCCACAAATTCATGGACTATATGCCTCTTGACAGCTTTTAGTCTAAATGGCTGTGCAGCAGCAATCCTTTCTTCTGATTCTCCAGTTGTATTGGACTACAACTCTACAATTTCCATGGATAATGGGAGTTGTGGCCCAACATATCTGCAGAGCACTAGGTGAAGTTGGAAAAATTGTCATATGGATTCTTCTGGTTCAAAGGTAAGATGCTACTGAGTATAGTTGCTTGGGAGCTTCAGTGCATTCAGTGTCTTCACGCATCAGCACTAAACTGCTTTGAACTACTCCCCCACCCCCAGTCCACACACACATTTTTAAAGTAGTTTGGCATACAGTGTGTGGCAGCTACTAGAGAAACACAAGTCCAAAGGCCCAACTGGCTTGCAAGGTTCTTTGGACACTAGCAAGTATCTTAGTTTTGTCTGATAAGACTTCAATTATTACTGTTTTGTAGAATGACGTGTCAAACAGGACCGGAAAGCTCTAAATTTCACAAGGCCAACGATGATTCAACAAAAGTGGTCAACATTGATTACAAGAAAGTTGGCCATCTCAACCTTGAAGTCCTTTGTTCTATATGTCAGAAAGAGGTACACATTAGCCAGCTATTTCATCATAAAAAAACCCACCAGGCTCAGGCTGTACTGGATTATCGGAGACCATGGGTGGAACCAATAGATATGGAAAAGATAGCCCATCGGAGAAAGAAACTAATTTTAAAAAGAAGAATGGCTAAGTATCCTGAACGAGAGAGAGAGAAAATTGACTGTGCTGTGGATCTCCTGAAGGAAAGTCTCAAGATTGCTCCATATTTTTGCATCAAGAGTGTGTCTCAAAGTTCTGTGCATATTCAAGAAGTAAGCAACCCACTAATAAAAGCCATAGCAGTCTGTCAAGACAAAAATGCTATTTGGAACATAGACCTGGAAGATGTATTTGTTGTGTTGGACAATTACGGAAATAGGAAAGGAACATGTTTCCTTGGATTGTTTGATGGAAGCAATGGAATTTCTGCTGCACGGACAGCTTCAGCTGAGCTTCCCCTTTTACTTCTTGACCAGCTTTCTCATGGAGATCTTTCTTACCAAGTAAGTCAAGCTGAAAAAGAAGTACTAGATTCTTTTCGCACTGTCTTTCGGGCAGATTATATAGTAAGGGAGAAAATTTTTACTTTTAAGAGAGTCCAAAGCAAGAAAACTCAGCAAAACAAGTATGAATGGATTCACAGAGCATATGCTAAGTCATTCTGGCGAATGGACCAGCTCTTGTGCCTTGGAAGAAATGAAGTTTCCAGGGTTCGCTGGAGTAGCTGTGCAGCTGCCATCTGTTTAGTGGAAAAGATAAGCAATGAAAAACAAGAAGAACCAGAGGTGGGGAAAACGCTTGAAAGGGATAAGAAGAACATACAAGAGGAGGAGCAAGAGCTGCCTGAAAGGATAAGAGCAAAGAAAAGAAGCTGTACAGAAATGGGGTCAGGCAGAGGGCCAGAACAACAGAGAGAACCCCTTGAAAGAATAAATGACAAAAAAGAACAGAACATTGTAGGGGAAATGGAAACACCCCTTGAAAGAGTGCATGGCAAAGAAGAACAGAACTTTGTAGAGAAAACAGAAGACCCCCTTGAAAGAAAAAATGATGAAAAGGAAGAGAATATAATAGAGCAAAGAGAAGACCCCCTTGAAAGCATAAGCGATGGAGAAGAACGGACCAACACAGAGGAAAGAGAAGACCACCTTGGAAGCATAAGTGATGGAGAAGAACAGACCAACACAGAGGAAAGGAAAGACCACCTTGGAAGCATAAGTGATGGAGAAGAACAGACCAACACAGAGCAAAGAGAAGACCACCTTGAAAGCATAAGCGATGGAGAAGAACAGACCAACACAGAGGAAAGAGAAGACCACCTTGGAAGCATAAGTGATGAAAAAGAGCAGAACAACACAGAGCAAAGAGTGGAACCTGCTGAAATAATAAATGATGAAAAGGAAGAGAATGTCATAGAGCAGAGAGAAGACCTCCTTAAAAGAAGAAAGTCTGAAAAAGAGCAGGGCATCACACAGCAGAAAGAGGAATCTTTTGAAATAATAAATGACAAAAAAGAACCATACCTCATGCAAGAGGAATCACAGCTGCCTGAAAGAATAAGCGGAACAAAGGAAAAAATCATCATGGGATCAGGGACAGGACGCATCACAGGACAGCAGCAAGAAGAACCCCTTGAAACAATAAATGATGGAAAAGAAAATAATATTGGAGACAATAAGCAGATTGCTGATAATAAAGAGATCAAGGAAGGGAGTCTGCTTGAAAACAATACTAGTTCAGATGAAGTTAGTGTCGGGCTAATGCATATTGCAAACATAGGTACGTATCCAGTCCTTGAACCACATTCCACCACCATACCCATTTTGACCTATCGGTATGAGTGGCGCAATTTAAGTCAGTACTGCTAATTTGCAAAGTGAATAACTTCTGAGGGTACTTCAGCATTAGATATGAAGAGTGAGGATTCAGAACAGCATATAATAATTTAGAATAAAATTAATATTTGTGCTTAAGGATTTTTCTCAGTTAAACCTTGTGTTGAAATAGAATGGTAAGCCAGTTTTCCTAGCATTCTAAAGCAATAAGATTAATCTGACCAAATATATATCATTCTCCCCATTGTTACAGACAGACAAATTTTGGTTAAACGCCTAGCTTGTTTGGAGAAATCATCAGTCAGGGTTCCCAGTTCAGACACAAACTTCCTATGCTTCCAGTCTTTTGCTTGAGTCTGTAGCAGTGAAGAAAGGGAAGCTATGCACGAACTGCGATGCTATGGAACAGAGGAAATCACTTATTTTAAAAGAGAATAGGCTTGTTGACAAAACCCTACCAAATGTACCTTCTTGAGAATTTGCTTCAATGGAAGCCTTCAATGGAGGTTAAACCAGAAATGTACAAGCAAGTCCATAGCAGAGTATTTACCTCTACAAACACCAATGTTTTTGCAGTTCTCATATGTCCTTTCAATCAGATGCCATCAACATGGCCATTTACAAGCATCACTTGTCTCAGAACATCAATCATTTCTGTGCACCCATAAGTTGTTACTGCAGTATTATAATCTCTGTATTATAATCTGCATTATAAGTATTATAATTATAATCCACTGCATCAACAGTGGAAATCAAGCTGTGCATTATTTTGCTTTAAGGGTTGAAAGTTCCAGACCTATAGGCCAAATTTTCCTAGGTTACCCAGATAGCCACAACTGTTATCTCCTGGCCACTGATCATATGATTTTCCAGGTTTTGTGTAATTTTTCCTATGCCAAAAGATTTAGTTATAGACAATAATTTAGACAATCTTGGACGCTAAGCAGGGTTGGGCCTGGTTGAAATCTGGATGGGTGACTTAAAATTTATGAACTTCCTGAGAGCATTAGCTCTGGGCAGTATAGAAATGTTATGTAATAAGAACACCTTAAAGCTGAAATATGTGATTTTATATTTATCCTCCACCACTTTTATCTTTAGCCCCACCCAGCATAATTCCCCAAGAAATTAATCCAAATCAAATTAAACTTTGTGCTCAAAGATCTCTCCCACATATACTACACTGTAAACCAATTCTGTTGAAAAATGACTATTTACAGTACTAAGAAAATAAACTTTCAGAATATCTTCACTTATGTACTTTAGAAGTAGATTAGGCTTTGAACAATTTTTGACTTTTTTGCAATGATTATCAAGGGTAGAAAAGAAGGCAACCAGAAAGTGTGTGGCCGACATTAAAAGTGGCAGTCTGAATTCTTTTTGTTCTCTCTCTGCATCACTCACATGGGTTTTGCAGAGGGATGCACAATTGAATCCACAATGAATTCAAATGAGCTTGAATTTCTATGAATCTGACTGGTGGATTCCACAGCGGACTAGCTTTTTCCAAGTCACACAAATTCCACAGACTTGAAAACTGTTTTAAATTGGTGTCTTTATATGGTGTCCCCCCCAAAATAATCCAATTCTAAATGATATTGCTTTGACAATGTATGAAACACAGAAAAGTTTAAACAATGCCTGCATATCCCTAGTTCTATGTCATCTGATAGAGGTATTTTAAATCTACAATTTGCACATTTATGGTCCAGGGCCCAAGGCTGTAAATTACTAAAATAAAGTCATGTTCTTGCAGCAAAGGATGATTAAAAAGAAAATGCAACTCTGATGTTGATAGAAATACTAAAATGAAAGAAGAATGGAGAATGAGACATGAAAAAGTTGGGCATAAAGCAAATAAATAAATAAACTCATCTTAATCACTAAGTGATCTAGATGAGAAAGCTCTTAATGAAGGGAAAGGCTGGGAGCTCCATTCTTAGAACATGTGGGTAGGGTGGCTTTTCACTGAAGTTTCTAGGCTCTAGAAAAGTCAAAGGTACAGGATCCATGTGAATGCAGTAGTGACAATTTCAAGAATTGAAGTTACAGGTAAGCAACCTGTCCTTTTCTCAGTTCTCCCTAAGTGTCGAAGTACTACACTGTTCCAGCTCACTGGATACAGTTTCAGAGCACAGACTCTCACAGGGCAGTGCCATGGTATATAATACTACAGAAGTGCTTTTGGATTCCAGACATACCATGTCTTGAGGATGGGACCAGTAATGGTCTCAAGGATGAAAATTCACCCCCCTCCCCACACACCTTCACTTTTTTTTATGGTCTCAGTACTCAAAATTCAGTGATTCTTGAAGGCCACTGAGCATATGCTTTATCTGCTTTGTCCTTCAAGTATTGTAATTTTTATTTCTATTTCTGCGTATTCTACGGTTTCATGGAAGCATACCAATACCTCCCCTTCTTAGTGACTGTTACAGCTCCCAACTAGCTGGCACTTGAAGCCTCCTGTGTTTACTGATAGTGTTTGAAAAAGATGCTGATTCAGGCTGTTTACAAAAGCAGCTACATCTCCCCTAGTGCAGTTGTAACCTATGGAAATAACTTTACAAGCGTGTAGAAAGGTGCACTTGATTTGAAACCATAGGACAGGCAAACTATATAGAGCAAACATTTCGCATCATTCAGATTAAGATAGTTGTTCACCTAGACTGTGATATCCAGAAATGCTGAAAGGTTAACAGTAAAAGGAAAATGCAGAAGCATCTGCCATGGAATCTGTCTATTGCACTGCTTAATACAAAAGCAATGTTAAGTGCCTTAAGTCAAAGTGACTTCAAAAGACAATGCTGATCTTACTATGCACAAATGTTTAACATTTTAGGTAATGTTCATGCAGTTTTATGCAAAAATGGGAAGAGCTATTGGCTTACTAAAGAACACTCCACTTACTCTAGAGAAGAAAAGATCCGTGTTTTTCGGAAAGGTGGGTACATCAGCAGTAATGAACCCAAAGGACTTCTAGAAGGACTTACCAAAAATACTCGTGGCCTTGGCTTTCATGGAAACCGCAAGTTGAAAAGAAGTGTTATACCTGTACCCCATACAATTTCCTTTCCCATTGATGATTCATGTCAGTTCCTTGTTTTAGCTTCTAATGGACTATGGGAAGTTTTAGATAAAAGTGAAGTAGTACTATTAACATTAACTATGTTTTCTGCTTATTTGGAAAAGTATCAAGATGCCCAACTGAAAAAAAGGCATTCATCCAGTGATTCAGAGTTACCTTTGGATGATTTGGAAGGTGACGTCTATTCATGGTATTTGAATCAAGAAATTTTTCCAGAGAGAGATGTAGACCAAAATCTGAGCCAAAGTAATGCACAGTTAAGCCCCGCCAAACACAGCATAAGTGAGAAAGCCATAATTAAGTCAGATTCCTTTAAAGAAAACTCAGTAGAGGAATCAGTAAGCTCTTTAGAATCAACCTTGAGCTCAATTACATCATCTTCAGAAGATACCGAAACCCTCCCACCAAGATCTGGAAGTGAAGAAATACTTGATCAAAACACAGAATTGGCACTTGAAAGCGATGACTCTTCACAAACATCAGAAGACACAGAAACCAATTCTAGGACATTTTATGACCTTGCAGCAAAGTATATTAGTAAGCACCTTGTAAAAGCTGCACTAAAAGCAGGTTCTAGAGATAATATTACTGTTTTGGTAGCACTTTTAAATGGATGTGATAAGATACCAATTTATGTTCAGAATATATAATTTACCTGCTAATGAAAACTAGGGCTGCAGTCAACCCATGTTATAATAAATTGTGCTATGATAACTATATAAAAATGTGTATTCCTTTGGTTAAGAATACTGATTACACTGAGTTTCTTTTTTATACCACTTTATTCAAACCTGAGCACCTCAATATAAAACTAAACACTGGTGAACTGTCATTTTCCTTGCTAAGCCCAAATTACTGCAAATTTACAATCTGCACATGTAAGTTTCTGCTAGCAGTTCAACATTTAAATAGATTAAATCATCTTTTCTGACACTTGGTAGATTTCATATAATGAAAATAACTAAAGAATTAGTGCAATATACTGGACAGATCAAAATAAAATGACTTTGGAAAACAAAGTTGCAGAATTCATTACAGACAGACAGTAGTACTTATGTTACAGGTACAGGAGCATCATTTATTACTGTTCTAGCCATAAAGGAAGAACTTAATCCCCTTGAGATCTGGGGAAAAGAAATGTTAGCTCTTTAAAGTAACTGTACATATTGTATACTTTTAAGCAACTCTTAAATAGTACAGAGTATTAAACAGATGTAGACTACAATGCAGTACCTTATTTACAGTACATTAATATCCCAATTTAAAATCAAGTTGAATGTACATAATTGTTAGTGCACTGACCAATTTTATCCTTAAGGGAAATATGTTATGGTCAACAATGATTAAAAACAAAACCAGATACCTAGTTTTTGTTGGACAAGTCTCAGTTTGTGAAGGAGATTTTGCTGCATTAGAATTCATTGCTTGTTTATTGTATAAGAGAAAAATGAATTAAACTTGATTTTTTTTTTACTTTTAAACTGGGCTGACAAAATTACATATAATGAAACAACTAAAACCCAATTGTTCTGCAAGCACAGATCAATAAAATTGTTAACGCTGCACATATTTTGTTAAATTATGAAAATGTGGAATGTATATTTAAATGGTAGATACCCACATAAACAACATTTTGCATAAATACTGTGAATAAGCTTACAGGATCTTCAGGTGTGTTATAGTTAGTTTTTTCCATACCACAAATGGATAATCCCAATTCTGTTCATTACACTTTAACAGTAACCGATATGAAAAGCTTGAGGAACTAACTTTTTAGCTGCAAATTCATGGAGTTGTTCAATCTCTATCCCTAATGACAAGTGATAGTTTATAAGTCTTCCAACTGAAACGTCTATCCAGCTTCCCTTCCCCCCTCTTTTGCTGAAACATAACAGCCAGTGATACATGCATGTTATTAAAAATTAGGTCAAAATCATTCTGTATTAGAAACAACTATTTCATAAGTCTCTTCGATTTTGGAAGCTGTATTGGGCCAGGTTAAACACTCCAAATTCCATTGTTATTAACAAGTTAGGAAGCAATAGAATATTCAAGACAGTTTAAAGCAGCTGAAGTTTAGTTGCTACAGCATTGAGTCTTAGTTGGTTGTGTTGGTTCAGTAAGGTCTACTCCTCTTCCTCGAACAGAGTTGGCCCCTGTATTCTGTTGTTCGTTCTTTGGCAACTTTTTAGCTACAAAAAATTATAGTAAAAATAATCTTTTATTTTTGTGTAAGCATTTATTACATCTAATGGTATGTGCATGCATACATTCATAAGCAATAAATATATTATACATATATGTGCCCCATCTCCATAATTGTTCTAGTAAAACTAGTTCATATAAATTTATTAGACTGAAATGTCAAATCACATGGTCCAATTCTATCTCCAAATGAGGATCCTGGACAATGCCTTGTATTAATCGACTCTGCAGGTAGCTAGCCTACAGGTGTTTTCCACAGGGATCTCTCAGTAGGCACTAATGACAAGTGCTTACAAAACTGAACTGAATGGAACAGGTGTGATGCAGTAGTTAGAACACTAAGACAAGACTACAAAAATCACTCGAGCCAAAAAGTTGACTAGATGAGTTTGAGCAGTCATCATCTTTCAGTCTGACCTACTTTGCAGGGTAGGTCAAAGAGAGAATGACTGGTGGGTGGATCAGAACCATGTAAACTACCAAGTCCTTGAAAGAATGACAGAGTAAAATATAATCAAATGCAATTAATAAATAGGTCATCATAGGAAGTGAACTGTAGACAGTTTACACCCCATGATTTCAGATGATGGGGGTTAAAAGTCCAACAACATCTAGAGGGTCATTGGTTGCCCACATAGTCTTTAGACAGAAAATGTATTCTGGTAAGAGTCAAAAGGCTTGGTGTGGAAACAAATAAATTAATAGCTTCAAGGACCCATTCACATTTGTAAATTTATATTTCAAGGTTCTGCATTCTTTGGATACTATTTATACTAGTTCACCAATATGTACATGTCTGGACAATATTTTATTTAGACTTATGATTTTCTTGAAAATTCTGAACTAGAAAACCTTCTGGAAAATTTCCATTGGGTTTCTGCACATTAGGTTTTTGAACATTTTCTGATGTCTAGAGTGATCTGATTTAGCATTTTTATTTTACTTGAATTTAGTACAGTTTAAACATATCCTGGGTTTTTTTTTTAAAGTCCCTATACAGATATATTTGCAGAAAAAATTAATGCGATTTAAAATTGAGAAAAATTTTTAGAACACTTGTAAAAATTTAAAAACAATAGAATAGACTTCCCTTACATTAAAGAAAAAACTAACTATGATAACTGTTGAAAAACTAATAAATTTCAGCAGTCCAAAGAACTGTGTGTGATATGCCAATTCCTCATGCTTGCCTATTGCAAGGATGATAGTGGCATCCATTCATTGTTATCAAACTTGGGAAATGGAAAATAATCCATGGGAAAATAAAGCACTGGAAATAATAGAAAAATGCCCCATATAACTGATAATATCGCTCAACATTGTTAACTCTCTTTTGTTTACTATAAAAGCACAAAATTGTAACAATTGTAATTTCATTTACAGGCCCAACAGAATATAGGGTTCAGAAGCAATCTGTCTACTTACCAGTGCATTGTTTCAAAAATGCTATGAAATTCTACACACCTGAATGTGTTTTAAAAACATTTTCCATTAAAGGATTACTTACCAATTGCCATGAATATTTCATTTACATTCATTGATGTTTTAGCTGATGTCTCCATAAACAATAAACTGTTGTCATCTGCATAAGACTGTGCTTCCTGTAAGTTAAGCATGCCAATTTATTTTTCTTCATGTAGCTGTATATTAACACCAATATATTACTGCAAGCTGAGATACCAGAGCTTTGTTTTTAAAGGATGGATTTTAGCATGCCTAGTCTGATGAGTTCTGTTCCCTGCACTCCAAAAAAAATAGAAAATCACAAATTCTCTGGTGTGGTGAGAATTTTTTATTTATTTTATTTATTTATTAAAACATTTTTATGCCACCCCATTCGCCGAAGCCTCGGGGCGGCTTACCACATTAAGTTAAAAAATAATTATAACATTAAATTAAAAATACAAACATAAGTTAAAATGCAAAAATTAACTATATAAAATAAGTCGCCCTGGCCAGATAAAATCCAATAATATTGACAATTAAAATGCCGTTTAAATATTTTTTAAATATATGATAAGAGCAGCCAGAATTACAATGGCAAAAAAATGGAAAACAACCAGCAAAGGTTGGAAAAATAAGTTAGCTGAATATGCAGTGATGTCAAAATCAACCAACTGTGTAAATAGAAAACCATTGAAAGGATGTAATAAATGGAAAGCTTATAATACATATTTTTGAGCCATAAAAAGGAAATCCAGTTAATGAGTTCAGTGATAAATGGAAATCCTATTAATTTTTATTCTATTTGTAATTGAAAGAAAAAAGAATCTTTGAATCTCACTAACATATAATATATACAATGATTAGATTAGTATAATTGTTCTCTGAAATAAGGAAGAAGGGGAGAAGGGGACATAGGTAGAGAAGGAAGAGAGGAAGAAAAGAAGGGACATTATTTTTAATTGTAACTAGGTTTATGGATACATTGTGGGATGAATTACAGCTTACCGTTGTTTATGTTAAAGCATTTTTTTCATGTGAAATCATTAGCTTCATTTGGCTATTTACTAACTTAATTAGCATTATATAGTTGTAAGTTTAGATGATGTAATAATCATTGCTCCTTTTTTGTGAATGTTCCCACATCTAGTTTTATAAGCAATTTTTGTACAAGGTCCCTTGGTAGCTTTACTTTTTTCATTCTATGTATTTCTGTTTTTTCTTTTTTTAAAAAAGAAGTTCTGGTGTGGCAAAAAGGACTAAAAGAAAGCATAAAGAATTTGTGGGAACTTAAAAGCTTAAAAACTTGAGACTGACAATAGTTTTTCCTCAGAAAAACTCAGCTGATATATTGCTGATATCTGGAAGACCTTGTACATACAGTGTCAACTATTGAGAAACCTGAAATAGGAGCAAGAAATAAGATATTTATGCAAAGTAGCCTTTCCCAGCCTAATGGACTTCATCTCCTACCAGCCCTACATAGCATAGTCAATGGTCACGAATGCTGGGAGTTGTAGTCCAAAGCACCTGGAAGGCACAAGCTTGGGAAATCAGTTGGTGAGATGTAGAATTCAGCTCACACGACCTCACAGGGTTGTTGTTGTGAGGATATGATTGAGAGGAGGAAAAATATGTAAGCCACCTTGAGTTCCTTGAAAGGCCAAAAGGTGGAATATAAATAGAATGAATGAATGAAAATGACTTGTCCTGATCACAAAGCAATTTTGGGCACTATCCTATGAATGCTTAGACAAAAATGTCCTACAACTCCTAGTCAACTATGCTTATTTTATTTTGCAAGCTGGCTGAAAAATGCTTACACTTTTTTCTGTCTAAACATGCATAGGACTGTGCCCTTAAGAAGATGGTACTGCTTGCATGGAGTTTAAGAGTTACAGCTTTGGAACACAGAACATGCGTTTAAATTTCCATACACTCTGCAGGGTTAAGTGGGTTTTCGCTGAAATACAATGTGAGAAAAAACTGTAGATACTGAAGATCATGGTATACCACCCATGACAAACTTCTGAACCAAAGATAAACATGCAGTAATAGGTTTGGATACAGGTTCAGAACTAAAATCAAAGACCAGAAATAACAATCTCCCTAGAGGCAAGCAAACACAACACT